AGGGATTTCCCTTTTGGTTAGCTTGTTTTGTAAGCTTTGCAAGATTAGAATTCCTATAAAGGGCGGGCTTCTCCTCCCTCCTCAGGGTTCCAAAAAAAGTTCCAGAGGTCTGAAAAATTAGGGTTGGAAGTTCTATATCTATCTATCCCTATATCTCCCTCTCCTTTTGATTTGTGTGTGTATAAGGGTTTTTTTGTTCTTAGTTTTGCACTAAGACACATAGTATTACACCATACCTTGGTTGCTGAGGTGCCAAAGGGTTGTTCTTGGAGTTCTTGGGCTGGTTTTGACCTAAGGAAGCTGCTGGAGAGGTGTTCTTGAAGAAGGTCTTCAAGGGTAAGAACCTTACCCCTTTATTCCCTATTTTTGCACAAGCTTTTGACCTATCTTGCATCTGTTTTTAAGCTTAGTGTATGACTAATAAAAGTTCTGTTTTTACTTGCTTTTGATCATTGTTTAAGGTCTCTTTGAGATTTGGGGCTGTTTCCACCCTCTAAGGCCTTGTTAGTTCTTGTTTTAGGCCATCTATTTTGGCCCTTGCTTTAGTCTTTGCAAGACCTCTCTACCCCTGAAATCCAGAGGATTTTCAGTGGTGGAGAGGTAGTTTTGGTGTCCTAAATGGGAGAGGGTCATCCCCTCTCCATGTTGTCTTTGATGCTCACACAAATGGCTTGTGTTGTAGCTTGTATGCCTAGGTTGCTTTAGCTCCATTTCAATGCATATTAGGCTTTGTTTTGCCATGATATAGCACTGTTTTAAGTTGGGTTAGACACACCATGCATGCTTTGCATACTTGTTTTGTAATGCCATGAAATTGCATTAACATGCATCATGATGTACCATGACTTTTTAGCATGATTTTGGCTTAGCTTTGTGAAGCTTTTATGCATGTTTTGGTATGATTAAAGTCTTATTTTCGTTGTTTGGGTCATCCATGACTTGCTTTGTATAGCTACCATGCAACCTAGCTTGTAGGCTTTGAGTATTGGAACCTCTAGCATGCTTTACTTGCATTATTTCAGTGACTTGGAGTCACTTACCATGTCATTTTAGTCCATATGGCATGCTTGTTTACTCACAATTGATGCTTCTTTAATGTCTTAAAGAGTTTATGTTTCATGCTCCATGTTTGTGCCATTGTGTATGCCATCATATATAGGCATTTGGGATGCATCTAAGTGTGTCTTTAGCCTTGTTTTCGTCTGCCTTGGGACTATTTTGAGTCCCTTTGGCCCTTCGAGGCTCGGTTGACATGGTCATGGCTTGAGCCCCTTGGCTAGCCTTGAGCCTTGGACCTTGTTGCATGCTTTGCTTGATTTGTTTAGTTGGTTTGGCACCTTTTTTAACATGATTTCAGAGCTTACAATGTATGCCATTTGTCTATGTTTGTTCCTTTTAAGTGTCCTTAAAAGTTGCCTCTTTATGCTTAAGTATTGGACCATGTATGCATACATGTTTGTATGTACATTTGCCTCCATTTCCTTGGCATGCTGGCCACTGTTTTGGACCTATTAGAGAGCTGTCCATCTTGGTGTAAGTCCATCCTTCGCATGTTGTTGCATACTCGCCTTGCGTGTTGTTACATACTTGGCCTATCGCATGTTGTCACATGCTTGAATCGCATTGCATTTGGCATGCATTTTCTTTGTTAAGTTGCCTTACATGCTTCCTTGCTAAGTCCTCTTTACATGTTGTTGCATGTTTGTCATTAGCATGGTTGTTACATGTCTCGCATACTTGTCTGCTTAGGTTGTGTGCCTAGTACACATTGTTTGTTTGCATGTTCATGTCGCATACTTAGCTTGTATGCTTAGGATGCATAACATTGTGCATATCATGCATGCCTTGCCTCTTGATCAAGCATGATAGAGGTTGGGTCCTTTATGTGTTTTGTGTGCAGTCTATTCGACATTGAAATTGTACACTTTGGCCTCTTGGACCATCATGCATTGAAATGCCTGATTGGTGGTCCGAGGGTCGAGGACCAAACTCCCTTGAGTTCATAACATGATGGGGAGGTTGGTTGTGCAAACATTTGCTTTAAGATGCATTGACATGCCTTGTCTGTCCTCTGTTGCTGTCAAAACAGGGTTCTGCAGGAAGATATGGTCAACCGACCATTTTCAGTGCCGATCGACCAATAATGGATGGCCGAGAACCTTACAACTGGTCGATGACCACTTTCCCATTGCCGGTGACCATTCCTCTTGGCTGGTGATATTCCACAGTGATCAGGGTGTGATGCTGAAGCATCCTTAGGACTTGTGCAATTTTTAAAGGCATAAAACAGTGAAAACAGAGGCAGCTTGTGCATGGTAGTGGATTTCCGAGCGGAGCCGAGCACGCATGCATTGGACCCTCTTCCCGAGGCTGTTTTTCCGCTTTATTAGCTTAGTTAATTTGCTTAGCTAATTAAGTGGTCTGTAACTATTTAATTAGCTTGTTAGTTAGTTAAATTTGTATTATTCTTTTGGTCCCTCCGAGAGAGAACGAATTGTGTAATAAGCGTGCGTGTGTGTGATGCATGTTTTCCAACCCCCACTTCTTTCTCCCTTTTATTTAACCGCTTACGATGGTTAGCATTAAGGCATATTTCAATTAGCATCCTTATGCTATGCATGCGTGCATCCATTCATTCGTATTGCATGCACCGGGCTCGGTGCATCATACTAACTGCATAGTAATTCAATTCCAACTTGAATACGTGTATCGAGTTGTTACATTTCACATGTCATCCATAGATTAGCCGAGCCTATTCTAGCTGCATTTTGCATGCGATGCATTAGCCATTTTAACATGGACTTGGATCATACATTTGATTACTAACATGTTCCTTGTTTTGGCTGGGAGTATTGGGTGAGAGTTTATGCTTTAGCATCTCGCATGAGTGTGAATGTTAACATGAAAGCATGCTTTCTATGAGGCTAACCGCTTAGTTGATTTACTGCCTGAAATGCCTGTGGGTGAAGGTTGGATTGCTTGAATTGGAATAATTCATTGAAATCTGTGTTTTAGCCTACTTACGAGTAGCAAACTCCAAATCATTTTCCAAACAAACGGATGTGCGATGCTTTGTTCCAAATTAGGCGATTTACTCTATACTCGTTTTGCTGCGCGCATCACATAGTAATTCTAGCTAATTAATCGGAATAAGAACGCATGCGTTTTCAAAAACGAGAAATCATGTTTAGTAGTGGCCAATCTTTGATCGGGCGAGCGGGGGTGCTCATAGCTGACCTTCCCCAATCATACCCAAGTTCCCGAGCCGAGGCAACTTTGGTGATGACGGACATGTGGCCTTAGGCAACGAGTCAAGGTTTCCTAAATTTCCAAAAAATAAAACATTTAGGTGGCGAGTCTGTATCTGGCAAAGCAGTCCATGTTTGACACTTTTTTCTAAAAATCTGTTTTTCAAAACAATTTGCCAGATTTGGACTCTTTGGTGATTTATCAATCTCAAATCGCACATTGTGAGATCAGATTAAGAATCGTGACAATTTGAGTCTGAACTGTAGTGAGCCCAAAACGAACAGAACGGGATTCATCCTCCCGGGGCGTTCGGGGACGTCTACAATTAGTCATTGTACATAACAACGTGTTTAAATACATTGTATATGTATCTTTGTTTGAGAGGAGATAGGGGATGTACTCCATTGTGTGGGAGGAGATAGGGGATGGACTCCATTGAAAATTAAGTTGGCCGGAGTGTCTAGGGAGTCCCAAAATCTTATATATTTATGGGTACCGGTTCCCTCGGACGTGGTTCCGTAAAATGCCAAGAAATAGAAGTGTTGGATTAATGAATGTATTAAATCGTGAACCATTAAGTTGTAGTCTCATATTGGTTATTTTGATAATAATGAATATGTGTTAACTGATTTACCCGAAGTGGAAGAATGAAAATGAATTGAGATATTAGTATCCATATTGAATGACTTTGAAAAGAGTATGTGTTGGTTAAGAACGTCGCACATTTATCTGATGCTCATATTTTAGTTAATTCTCATATATTGTTTAGCATATCTCCACTAGGCTTTGGCTCACCCTACTTGGGAAACCATTTTCTGGTACCCGTGACATGCCACCTCCAAGGACATAGCTTGGGAGGCTTAAAGGCTAAAGACTCTACTTTTGTGATTTCATTTTGTGTTTATATGTTTCCTTTTAAGCCGAGGGCTTTGTATGTAAAAGAGTTAGGATTGTTCTTTTGTTGTAACCAAGTGATTACTTGGAAAGCTGTAAGCCCGTAGGGCATCTATTTTGTTGTATCAGTTAGAACCTCATGCTATAGTTTCAAGATAAACAATTATGAAGATGTAATGCATGTTACACATTTTGTAAAGAAGACTCTGATAAATGAAATTATGATACTTCTTTATGTCTATAGATCTTGTGAACGGTTGATTTATATAGTATTTTGAGGGCGTTACATAAAAGTCATTCTCCACTCCTTATATTCCCCTTTCTGTCAAAAATCATTCTTAGGGAGTCATCATTTTTTGTAGACAATTCAAAAAGTCTTGGGAACTCATCTTTAAGACAGCTATTTGCCATCCAGTTATCACTCCAAAACTTAATTATGTTCCCATTTCCAATAACAATCTTAGCATTTGACAAATAAAAGTTCCTTAGAAGAGGATTTAAAATAGCCACATTAAGGATATCATCCCATACTTTGGAAACAGTGGAACTGAATTCCAAAAAAGGCAACCACTTCCCTCCTGGACATGCATATTTAGAGCAGATGATCCTTTTCCATAGAGCTTGATCCTCAAATCCAAACCTTCACCACCATTTAGATAAAAGACTCTCATTGAACTCCTTAATTTTCTAGATTCTCAACCCATCTTGAGCTTTACTCTTTGTGACTTCCTCCCACTTAACCATACCCCATAAGAAATTTGTTTGCAATCTATCAATTACTTTTGTAACCCCATCAGAAATTTTGAACATCGATAAATAGTAAACTGGGAAACTTGAAAGAACAGCTTTAATCAATGTTATTCTTCTCCCATACGACAATAGCTTCCTTTCCAAGATGCAAGCTTGAGTCTACATTTATCAATAATAGGCTTCCAAGTGCTTATCGTACTTGGACTTGCACCCAGAGGTAATCCAAGATATGTGAAAGGTAATTTGATACTCTTACAATTAAGCTTAGATGCAAAATCAGCCATTAGGTCCTCAGTTGCTCCCATCCCACATATACTGCTTTTGTGAAAATTAATCTTGAGACCAGACATTACTTCAAAACATCTATGAATTCTTTTTACGTTCATGACTTCCACCCTATCAACTTCGCAAAAAAATATTGTGTTGTCCGCAAATTGTAAATGTGTTAAAACGACCTTACTAGACCCAATTTTCACACCTCTAATCAATCCCAACTCCTTTGCTCTTTCAATCAAAATGTTTAACCCTTCTGCCACTACATTAAAAAACAAAAATGTGAAAGTGGATCACGTTGGCAAAGTCCTTTTTCAGGACAGAACTCAGAGGTTGGTGAACCGTTAACAAGAATTGAAACCTTCACGTTTGTGACGCATTCCTTCATCCATTGAATCCATTTATCTCCAAACCCAAAACTTATAAGCATTGGAAATAAGGATTCTCAGTTAACTGAATCGTACGCCTTCTCAAAATCTAATTTTAAAATCAATCCCTTCTTTTTAGTTTTCTTCCATTCATCAACCACTTCATTAGCAATCAATATCCTATGCAAAATATTCCTTCCCTTCAAGAAGGCTGATTAAACCTCATTTACAACCTTAGGAATGACCTGTTTAATCCTATTAGCCAACACCTTTGATACTATCTTATATACTGAACCTATCAAGCCTATTGGCCTAAAATTTGTGAGACTAACAGGGCTATCCTTTTTTGGAATTAAAGTCATAAAAGAACTGGTGAGACCCTTATCAAGCTTACCATGACTATGGAACTCATAGAAAAAATGTACAATCTCTAATTTGAAAATCTTCTAGCACTTTTGGAAACAAGACATGTTGAAGCCATCCGGACCCGAGGCTCTGTTGCCCTCACAATTCTTGACTATTGATCAAATCTTAGCTTTAGAAAACTCCACAGACTCATCCCCAATGTTCTTGAATGCACCAGACAGCTTCGGTCTTACCTTCTAATCCTTGGAAAACAATGTTTTAAAGTGCCTTAGGACTTCGATCTTGATCATCGAGGGTTCCTCATGTAAAATCCCATCAACTGTTATCGAATTTAATAAATTCTTATTCTGTCTAGAAGATGCCATTATGTGAAAAAACTGTGTATCTTTGTCCCCCTACAAAGCCCATGACATTCTTGATTTTTTTAACCATATCCATTCCTCTCTTTTTCTCTATATCCACACCTCCCCTCTCAAAAATCTTATCCTGGCAGTCTCAGTGTCATTAAGGACCCTGCTTTCAGCACTCAGATCCAGACAGTGCAATTCATCTTCAGCTTCCCTCAACTTGTATTTGACATTACCAAAAGTTTCAATATTCCACTTCTTCAAGATTAACTTGAGAGCTTTCAACTTTGCAAAGAAAACAAAACCACCCCTGCCATGCACATTAGATTCCTCCCAAGACTTCTTTACCACTGAACAAAACTGTGGATGCAACACCCAAGCATTAATGAACTTGAAAGGCCTTGGACCCCAATCTCTATCATATTCCATTAGTAGCACTGGATAGTGATCCGATACAACCCTTGGAAGACCCCAAACATTGAATTTAAAGCACTTCAACCATTCCGAAGACAGTAGGAATCTATCAATTCTGCTCCACTTCTCACCATTAGCTGCATTACACCATGTGAACTTCCTACCAAGCATTGGGAAATCAGTGACCTCCATTAACTCAATGTATTCATTGAAATCCTTTGTATCTCTATCCCTTTTGGAACACCTTACTTTTTTCCCTAATTGTTTAATTTTGTTAAAATCCCTTCGCAAACAACAAGGCTGAAGGAATATTGATTTCAAATTATAGATGGATTTTCGCAAATTACTTTTACATTCAATTTTATTTAGGGCATACGCATTAGCAATAACACATTCAAACCTGGACAAAATGATACCAGACAGCAGAATAATGTTTCTATTACTGCAACAAGCCTTCATTGAAAACACAACAAAGAATTATGTTTTAATTTATTTAAAAGAGAAAAATAGAATCCAAAATTTATTTTGATGATTTATTTAATTATGTTTTAATTTATTTAAAAGAGAAAAATAGAATCCAAAATTTATTTTGATGATTTATTTAATTATATTTTAATTTATTTGAAAAAGAAAAATAGAATCCAAAATTTATTTTGATGATTTATTTAATTATGTTTTAATTTATTTGAAAGATGAAAATAGAATCCAAAGTTTATTTTGATGATTTATTTATTATATTTTAATTTATTTGAAAAGGAAAAATAGAATCCAAAATTTATTTTGATGATTTATTTAATTATGTTTTAATAGAATCCAAAATTTATTTTGATGATTTATTTAATTATGTTTTAATTTATTTGAAAGAGAAAAATAGAATCAAAATTTATTTTGTCCCATTATTTCTCACCTAAACTTTTATCCTAAATATTGTTTGAATGTATTTAATATTTGCTTAAATCGGGAATTCATTTCAACCCAAAAATAATGCCCAAACCAGAGGTTCAAACAGCCCAACACAGCAGCAGGCCAAAAGGTTCAAGTAGAAGATATTCAAATTAGTAATGATGAAGTGTAAGATATTTAAATGAATACAGCGGCTATAAACGACTATAAATTCAAATGAATACAATGGCTATAAACAGCTATAAGTTTCATTATATATACCAAAGCCTCTAATGTAAACAAGTTACAAAAAAAACCAGAAAATATTCTTTGATCTATAATCACTCACATCTATTTTCTGAAAAATTCTTCGAGAAATGTTCTTCAATTTTTGTTTTCATCCTCTTTCAGAAATTATAAACTAAGATGTATAGCTTTAAGCCCATCTTTTCTGTGTGAGGTTTACAGAAAAATCAAAGCTTCATTTTTATATCTATCTTTGAGAGATAATTCTTGTGAAAGCAAAAACACATTCTTTTCAACCTTGTAAGAATGTAGTACACTCAGTGTTCTTGACTTAGAAAGTTTGTGTAAAATCTATGGAGGATTGCTCCATCTGTGAAAAGGTTGCTAGCACCTTGTGAAGCTAGAGTATAGTGGAAAATCTCAAGTGAAACTTGAGGAGTGGACGTAGGCCGAGTTAAAACCAAACCACTATAAATTTGTTTGCCTCTTTCTCTCTCTTATCTCTTTATTTTATTTAAATTGCCATAGCTATATTTCACATTTTTACTGTGCTAAAATTATTAATTGACATAGTTGTTAGAACACTTGTTTTAATTATTTTTATTTCATTAACTATATTTATCTATTGTGCTAGTCATAATTTTTATTAAGGTATTATTATTTTTATTTGTAAAAACCTAATTCACCCCCCTATTTTAGGTTGTCTTTTGGGTAACAATTGGTATCAGAGTCTAGACTCTTGTTTTAGATTTAACCATTCGGGAGTTTCGATCTATGGCAACCTTAGTTGAAGGACAAGCCACAAATAGACCACCATTGTTTGACGGAAACAACTATAGTCATTGGAAGGATAAGATGACCCTATATCTACAAGCCACTGATTATGCCATGTGGATTATTGTCACCAAAGGTCCAAAAATTCCTACCAAATTAGTAGACAATATTAGTATACCTAAAACTGAAGATGAATGAGATGAGAGGGATCATAAATTATTGCAAGCCAATGCCAAAGCCAAACTCACCATTGTTTGTGGATTAGACTCTAAGGAGTATAATAGAATTTCAAGTTGTGATTCGGCAAAAGAAATTTAGGACAAACTTGAGGTAACGTATGAAGGTACAAACCAAGTGAAGGAATCTCGTATTGATATGCTTGTTCATAGTTATGAATTGTTTAAAATGTACTCTGATGAATCTATTTCATGTATGTTTACTAGATTTACTGAAATTGTAAACTCTTTGAAATCTCTTGGCAAAACTTATACTAACAGTGAGTTGGTGAGAAAAATTCTTAGGTGTTTATCAAAGAATTGGGAAGCAAAGGTCACGACCATTATAGAAGCCAAAAATCTTTCCACATTTGGATTGGATGAGCTTATGGGTTCCCTTATGACTCATGAGATCACCATGAAAAGACATGAGGATGTTGAAAACAAAAAGAAAAGTGGAATTGCATTCAAAGCCTCATCAAATGAAGAAGAATATGAAAACTCTAGTGAGAATGAAAGCTATGCCATGTTTAGTAGAAATCTCAAAAAGCACTTCAAGAAAAACAAGAAAGAGTATAACAAACATAACAAGAAAGAGCCTATTATTTGCTATGAGTGCAAAAATCCTGGACATATGAAGATGGATTGTCCAAAATTGAAGAATTATGGAAAAGACTACATAAGAAACAAAAGGCCATGGTAGCAGCTTGGGGAGAGAGTGAAGATGAAAGCTCAAGTGATGAAATTGAAAATGAAGTAGCCAACTTATGTCCCATGGCTCTTGAAGATGAAGACTCTACTCAAGATGAGGTAACTACTCTGTATGAAGAACTTGAAAGTGCATTCCAACTACAAGATGAATTTAGAAAAGTTTGTGCCAAAAATAATGTGTTGAAGAAATCTGTTACATCCTTATCTATTAATGTAGAAAAATTAAAGAAAGAAAAAATTGTTTTGAAAAATGATACTATCTCTAATGAGAAAACTACTTTAAAAAAGAATGTTGATGATTTAATAAAAACACTTCAAAATTTTGTAAATGGTAGAGATAATCTCAACATGCTTGTTGGAAATCAAAAATGTGTTTTTGATAAAGCAGGCATTGGATATGACCCTATTAAGAAACAAAAGAATCTCAATACAATTTTTGAAAAGGCACCTCTCATGACACACCCTCATATTACTTGTCATTATTATAGAAAGAAATGTCATTATATATCTTATTGTCCATTCAAAAAGAATATGAACATGGGAATTAAAAAGATTTGGATTATTAAGAGATCTAACAAAACTAACCAAGAAGGATCCAAGAAACTATGGGTACCAAAAACCAACACTTGATTGTCATCTTGTAGGTTTGCTTTAAGTCCAAAGTTAAAGAAGGGAAGTTGTACCTTGATAGTGGATGTTCCAGACACATGATCGGAGCTAAATCCTTCTTTACTACACTGTCATCCAAAAATGGAGGCTTTGTTACTTTTGGAGATAACAAGAAACGAAAAATCATCAGTATTGGTAGCATCGGTATTTCTCCTAACCCTTCTATTGAAAATGTTTTACTTGTTGATAGACTTAAGCATAATCTACTTAGTATTAGTCAATTATATGATAAAGGTAATCGAGTTATTTTTGATAAATCACATTGCACAATTGAAAGCACAAATGATTATAAAGCTTTATTCATTGGTAATCGTCACGATAATGTTTATGTTTTTCATCTTAGTGATCTCTATGCTAGTGATGTTAAATGTCTATATGTTAATAATGAAAATAGTTGGTTATGACATAG